ATATAAACCTGAAATCTTGACATTCTTCACTTTAGTGGCCCTAGATTAACCACCAGCCTCCTAATTCTCTGCTTTCACCTTTTGCCCCATAATTTCTACATGCTAATCTCTTGCTTCACCTACCGGATTATAAATAATTAGGCCTCTACTACTTCTCTGTTCTCAATCTCCAAACACCTTTCCAGTGAACACTCCTCTTCATAACAATCTCCAAACACCTTTCCAGTGAACACTCCTCTTCATAACACTGGTTTCCTACTATTTCTTGAACATATCAAGCCCATCCCTGCCTCTGGATCTTTGCACTCATTTTCCCTACAGGTGGAAACTTAAGTATTAATATTTTTCTAAAACGATTTTCCAGCTATACCATTTAAGCATAAAGATGTCAAATTATCCTACCCACTTAAAAGGCAAAGCAAAGATGGAAAGAAACTTTATTCTGAGATCACTACATAAAACTCCCCCTTTATAAATACTAGATAGTTATAAAAAAAAGAAAGAAATACTTACTTTTCAACCCAGAGCACAGAAACGAGCTTTACTCCATTCTTCTGTGCTTTATTCCAAGTGCTCTGGTATCCATCTTTAAAAACAACATGGGTAACCTGTTTGTTAAAAGTTTTTGAAACCTGTAGGGAAATATGGAGAGCAAAATATAAATTTTTACTACTCACAATTTTCTAAGCACACTTGATCAAAAGGATACTTAATTCAATATTAATGAAAATAAAATATAAAATAAAAATATGCAAAACGTCGACTATAACAATTCATGGAATTTGTCATAGGGAAACATTCTAAGAAATGAATGAAAATGGTTAAAAATATACACGTTTTAATTTAAAATGGTGTGTTGTTGCAACAGTGTTTTTACTCTTTATAGTCCTATCCTGTGCCATCTTCACACTTCCTGACACATTAGAGCCCAATGCGCTACCACTGTGTCAATCCACCTGATCTAGGGTCTTCCTCTCCTTCAACGGCCCTCCACCTTTCAAGCATCATGTTCCTCTCCAAGGAACAGCTCCTCCTAGCAACAGCCCCAAAGTATGTGAGGCGAAGCCTCATCATCTTTGCTTCCAAACAGCACTCTGGCTATACCTTCTCCAAGACATATTTGTTTATTCTTTTGGCAGTCCATGGAATGTTTAGTATTCTTCTCCAACAACACAACTCAAAGTTGTCAATTCTTCTCTGTCATCCTTATTCACTGTCTAGCTTTCAAGATACATAGCAAGTGATCAGAAAGGCCATGGCCTGGAGACTAACTGCAGACTTTCATGGTACAATATGTCTTCTGATTTCCCGACTGTTGGTACCAAGGGTGCCAAATGGGGACCCAAGTATGATGAAACTGTTGACAGTTTTAATCTTTTCTCCATCTATCCTGATGTTTCCTATTGGTCCAGTGACAAGAATTTTAATTTTGTTTTACACTGAGATGTAATCCATATTGTATTCTTTGATCTTCGGCAACAGGTACTTCAAGTCCTCCTCATTTTCAGCAAGCAAGGTTGTGTCATCTGCAAAATGCAGGTTACTGATGAGTCTCCTTCTGACCCAGATACTATATTTCTCTTGAGAGTCCAGCTTCTCAGATAATTTGCTCAGCATGCAGATTGTATATAGAGAAAATACAATCCTGACACACTCCCTTCTCCATTTTAAACCATGTGCTGTTTCTTTACTTCATTCACACAACAAACAGCCTCCTGGTCTAGGTATAGGTTTCACATGAACAACTTGTGAGTTGCTGTGCTACTGAAAGCTATGCCACCAGTGTGTCAAATGCCACAAAGGTTACCATGGTGGACAGGTTTTATTAGAGCTTCCAGATTAAGACAGACTAGAAAGCAGTACTGGCCATCTACTTCTTTAATAACAGGCCTCTGAACAGTAGAAGAAGACAATAGTTAGTTATAGCTGTAGTGATAGAGCCAGTCATGAAATATATACGCACAACCATCCTGAATACTAGTAAAAAAGTTAAGATAAAAGCTCCACAAAAAGGAGAAGAAAAAAAAGAGATAGGGGTGAAGTTGTACGAGAGATCATGGCGATGGCTTACTAGTCCTTGGTTAATCTTCAAAGCTGGAACAAAACTCACCCCGATAGCTCAACTTTCAATGAAAGAATAGACAAGCCTACAAACTGATCAATAACATCATGGAGGCACTCACTTCTTAGAATACTCAACCATACAATCAAAAGAGTAGTATTTGTACTATGATATACAGCCCAAAAGGCAGGAAGGCATAGGACAGAAAGGTTTATAATATAAATGTGAACTATAGGAAGTTGGACAATGACTAAAGGAGGATAGAAGGAGAATTGATGCCTTTGAGCTGTGGTGCTGGAGAAGAGTGTTGAATGTACCCTGGACTGCCAAGAAAACAAACAGATTCATCCTGGAGAGGGTTAAACCAGGCTGCTTCTTGGAGGCAAGGATTCTGAGGCTTCATCTGACATACTATGGAGAAGTTGTAAGGAGGGAGAGGTCCTTGGAGAGGGACATCATGCTTGGGAGGGTAGAGGGACGGCACAGAAGGGGAAGACCCTCTTTGAGGTGGATTGGGTGTGTCAGAGGCGGTGAGAATGGCACAGGATAGAGCAGGGTTTAGGGCTGTTGTACATAGAGTCGCTATGAGTCGCAAGCTACTCAATGGCATATAACAACAACATAGGAAATGAAAAAGGTGTGAGAGTATGATCTCAATGCAGGTATTACAATTAACATAATAAAGCAAATGTGTGTGTAAATTGCTATATGGAAAACAAATTTGTTTTGTAAACTATTAATCAAATAATGGTAAAAAAAGAAAAGTTAAAAGGAGAAAAGAGTGACAACTCAGAAGATAAAAGTCTCACACAAACTCACTGCCCTTGACTAGATTATAATTCATATGAACCTTCCATGGCATTGTAAATCTTTATGTGATGAAACTGCTTATCTTTCTTACAAGGAGCTGCTGATGTATTCAAATTATTGAGAAATACGGCATTCTGGTTAACAGCACAACAAACTAAGGACTATGTCACCAGAGTTCCAACAATGAACTGTTGTTTTTGTTGTTGTTGTTATGTGCCATTGAGTCACTTGCGACCCTATGTACAACAGCCCTAAACGCTGCTCTGTCTTGTGCCAATCACACTGTCTCTGACACACCCATCCCAACTACCCGAGTCACTGAATCAATCCACCTCACAGAGGGCCTTCCCCTCCTACGCTGTCCCTCCACCTTACCCAGCATGATGTTCTTCTCCAAGGACCGGTCTCTTCTTACAACATGTCTAATGTATGTTAGATGGAGCCTCAGAATCCTTGCCTCCAAAGAGCCACCTGGTTTAACCCTTTCCAGGATTATTCTGTTTTCCTAGCAGTCCATGGTACTCTCAATACTCTTTCTCCAGCACCACAGCTCAAAGGCATCAATTTTCCTTCTGTCCTCCTTGGTCATTGTCCAACTTTCTGATGCATCAAGTGACTACAAAGACCATGGCCTGTACCAAATGCACCTTAGTCTCCAGAGAGACACCATTGCTCTTCAGTACTTTGGGGAGGTCCCTAACACCAGACTTTCCCATGGCAATGCACCTTTTAATTTCCTGGTGCCAAGAGTGTTAACTGTGGAGCCAATCAAACTAAAACTGTGTACAATCTCAATCTCTTCACCATCCATCCTTATGCTTCCAATTGGCCCAGTGGTGAGAATCTTTGTCTTCTTGACATTGCGTCTCAATCCATATTGGAGGCTGCAGTCCTTGACCCTCTGCAGCAGGTGCTTCAGGTCCTCCTCAGTTTCAGCGAGCAGGGTTGTGCCATCTGCATAATGCATGCTGTTGATAAATCGTCCACCAATCTTGACCCTACATTTCTCCTCACAGAGCCCAGCCTCCCGGATGATCTGTTCTGCATACAGGTTGAAAAGTTATGGAGATAGGACGCATCCCGGGCGTATGCCCTTCCCAATTTTGAACCATGAAAAATAAAACAAAGGAAAACGAATTAATCTGGACAATTACTAAGGACGACAGAAGAAGTATTGCTCATGCCATGATAGCTATGTGTCTGCTTGACTTTATGGTTTGATCTTGTCAGTTTCTTGTATTTGAGAGTGATATGTACCTTGTTACATTTTTATTGCTTAGATATGTATATGTGTTTGTATATTGACTGTTCTTAAGAATACAGTACTTGTCAGCTGCTATACTAAAATCTGCTGTTAAGTATACAGTGCTGGTCTGTCAGTTGCTATACTAAAATGTTTTGTGGATTGTTGGAAAGTATGCCACTTTTATTTCAAATACCAGTAGGTTCACACCTAGTGGACAGGTTTCAGCAGTTTCCAGACTAGGAGAATCTAACAAGAAAGTCTTACTGTCCATTTCTGAAGCAATATGCCTTCAAAACCCTATGAACAATGGAGGACGACTGCTAGATATAGCACAGATTGGAAGACACTAAAAATTTAGGAGCAAACATCCATTAATAACTGGAATGCAGAAGATATGAAGCATGAATTCAGGAAAATAAAAAGTTGTCAAAAATGAAATGGAGCACATAAAAATTTCGATTGCAGGTATTTCCAAGTTGAGATGGACTGGCATTGGCAACTCTGAATCATCATCTGATCTACTATGGCAGGAATGTAAAAGAGAAGAAGAATGAAGTTGCATTCATAGCCAAAAAGATAATTTCAAGATTCATTCTTAAGATACAATGTAGTGAGTGACAAAATACCATGCATACAAAGAAGACCTGTTATTACAACTATTATTCAAATATATACATCACCAGGAACTAAAACCAAAGATAAGGTGATCAAGGATTGCTATAAACTTTTGAAGTCTGAAATCAATTGGACATGCCATCAAGATTCAAAGATAACAACTGGTGACTAGAACACAAAAGGAAGGAACAAAGATGAACGTGGTGACAGAAATGAGGCTGGAGACCAAGTGGTTAAATTTTGAGCAATCAATGATTTATTATTCACTGCCAGTACCTTTTAAACACAAATTACAACTATACAAATGGACTTCAATTAGTGAATTACACAGGAATCAGACCGACTACATATATGAAAAGAATCGCTGGAGAAGCTAAATTATCAGCAGTCAAAACAAGGCCAGGTACTGACTAAGGATTACATCATCAATTAATCATGTGCAAATTCAAGCTGAAGCTAATGAAAATGAAAACAATTCCACAAAAATAAAAATACAATTTTGAGTCTATCCCACTTGAATTTAAAACTATCTCAAGAATTGGCTTAACTCTGTAGGATAGCATCAAAGCAAAAGCAAAATGGTGGCTTACAAAAGTAGTGAAGAGAGAACAAAAAAAGACTAAAGCAGTATGTCATCTACATAACGCAAGTTGTCGATGCGTGTTCGTCCAATCCTGATGCCACATTCTATTTCACATAATTCAACTTCTTGAATAATGTAGGTGCCAATGAGCCAACTATGATTCACAGCAATCCTGTAACCAACAGATCTTGAACCTTGCCATAGCCTGCACCATCCTCACCATTTCTTCTATGTTAAAGCCCATTGTTACAGTTATTTTATGAATCCATCTTGTTGAGGACCTTCCTCTGACCTCCCAACTTTCTCAGCATGATGT